ACAATTCTAGTATTGTTCAATTAATACCTCCCAGTCAACAGCTACCAGCGCCAGTTGTCCAATCAACTGACGCGAAACCATAGCTCCTCCCTCATCGTTTCAGATACTTCCCGCGCAGTTTAACCAATCATTAGCAGTGAATGGGAGATATTAAGTATCAGTTCGGTGTGGGCTAATCTCATATAGGTTCAATTATAGCATACTTGTCAGCAGCGTACGTCAACACTTCGCCGCGAAATGTGCCGAGTGTGGCAGCTATTCGTGCGGCGTTGAGTGACCGGACTCGGGCGGCGCGGCATCAGGCTGTTCTAACGACCACGGTCAGCTCCAGCCACTGAGATAGCCGTTGGTCACCGAACTTCTCTTATCCCCAAGTGTCTTCTGCGCCTGCTACGTGCTAAAGCTTTTACGATGGCAACGGTCACTCAGTCGTCCAGCTTCAGCATGGATAATATCCTTTCTCGAACATTCAAGCAGTCGTTCGACAACGGTAATCATCGTTTCACTACTCCATTTACATGATCGCTTAATTAGTAATTAGTTAAAGTCTAAAAAAGAATTTAAGCGCTGTTTAGCCCCGTTTGTGTGGTTTGTGAAGCGACTGAAATCGATGTTGTATTTTGACGTTGTTTAGAGCCACAAGTGGAACAGCAGCCAACAGTAGACACCCAGACGGCGGATATCTACAAACCAAACTACAAAGAATGTGCCTCTGAGGTATCCCCAACTTGTTCGGAAGACAATTTCGTGACAAAAATGACCGATGGTAAGACCAGCGACCAGCTTCGCTGATGATTCTCATAATTGAAACGCGGAATTTCAGACCCGGCAGGCGATGGAGACGAGAAGCCACGAAAGATCCGACGATCACGGACCACGTTCACCACCTACCAATTGCACCAACTGGAACGGGCGTTCGAAAAGACACAGTACCCAGATGTTTTTACACGGGAACAGCTGGCGATGAGACTGGACCTCAGCGAAGCTCGGGTTCAGGTAGCGGTTGACTTTTACCGTAATCAGCGTAGAATTACCTAAGTGATCGGCGTTATTAGTGCTGAAATGCAGATGTGATCCGCAAAGGGAATAAACAGCCGCGTCGAGAATTAATAATGGACAGTTTGACAAAAAGCATGTCATATCGTACGGAACACGGTGTAGTTGACAAAGCGCCTGGGAATTGAATCCATTAGTATGCACCGCTCAACCTCACCGCCGCTTATTATAGTGTGGCATGATACTCGGGTGAAAAATCAGGTGTTTATGCTTTTTGTGCCTTTCCTCGACACAAGGCGGAAGACGAGGAACACCCAGAACTGAGCCTAAGCCTGAATCATCGATCGTTTGATTCGTACCACCTGCCCAGCGCCAGAATGCTGCCCGGCACTAAAGCGTCTGCACCGTGTGTGGATGAAATTAAATTCGCCGACAATTTTAATTGATTATATAGGAAAATTAACAACCAATACAGGGATAATAATCGCGGCGTAATCGAGCAATTTTCTTTAATTTATTCTACTAGCTTATGGCGGTGTTTCCGTCGGGCGCTTCGCAAAGAGGCCCCTTGGCAGCTCGGCTGACTAATTGGTTTATGGCCTGCCGACTCGGTTTCGTACTCTGAATCGCCGTTTTATTAATGACCCGCCGAGGCAATGGCTAACGCCCCGTCGTCGGCATTGTCCAGCGCAGCCGTCAATATTGGCCCTTTAATTAGAGGAGCGCGAGCGGTCGGCGACCGATTACTGCTTTTCAAGACGTCGCTGGACTGGTCACTCCACTCAATTCGCCCGGCGGCGGCGGCGCGCTACCAACGCCAGCGCAATCATTTGAAAATCAATGAAACAAAGGTGGCTTTTTCAGCTAATCACGTATGAATGCTGCACACGGCGCAGCAGAATTCAATCAAATTAGCTCTTAATGAATCTTTAGATTAATGGATCAATTTTTATCCACAACTTTCATACCGTACCCGCAGAGGGTTCGGCTGTCGTTCGGTAGCGATTTGAGGACAAAACAGAACGAAGCAATTCTGACAGAGGCTACGAGAGGGTTTTCGTCGAGTAAACTGACACTCGAGTTTTGCTCATGTACCCTATCCCATTTGTGTGCTGCCCCGGTGGCAGAATTGACCGAATGCTGAAGTTGCAATTAAATCGTTGTGGGATCGAACTCAAGGCAGGAATCACTCATCTTTCGCCTGTCGTTATCCTTCCTCTGACATGTTCTCATTGTAAGTGCGCTAGTCAGCGCAAATTCACCTTCCTCCAATATGATCTTTTCGAGTATTTATTTGGTGGGTTGGTGTTCGGCAGTCCATTGCATTCAGTCCCGGAACGATCGCAGGTGTCTTTCCTTACTTGGAAGGCTTTGGTCACGGACAGATATAGTTGGCGAGTGGTGGTCAACTACCGTATCATTCTCTAGAAGCTAACTCCTGAACCACTTCTAAGTTTTCACTCCAGAAAAAGTCTGACGGCAGCCAATATCTCAGTGGCTATGAATTTATGAATCCGGGAAAATTTGCAATGGATGACTTGCCCGCGTTTCATGCACAGCACTATCTGTTTCCATCACAAAATTGTGTCGATGTTTTTTTGAAGCTGACTGATACATGAAATAGAATTTTGATACATCGCAACGATCCTTTGAATCCTATGCTTAGACAGCAACGATTCTGAAGTTATCCGCTCAAATGGCATTGGCAATAAAGCAGTGACAAAATAAAGCCCAATTTCTTGCATACTCTTAGATACATCGTGCAGCATAGAGACAGGCACAGGTACTGAATGTCGAAAAAACTTCAGAATATTCGCTCCAGATTTACTTTTCATTACTGAAAGCTTTATCAGTGTTTTACAGCATTTTTCCTTTCTCAAGGACTGTCATGCAGCAATCGATACAAAGCGAATCTCTTAAGAAGGGTCATCAAATATTAATTCTGCTATTCGAA